AGAAAAGCGCTATATAAGTGTAAGCAATTATGATTATTATTATTATTATTATTATTATTATTATTATTATTATTATTAAAACACTATTTACTAGTTTATCTATGAATAATGTGTACTACAACCTGCACATGGTTACTGGCACTCTCATGGTGCTGCATTTGATTTTGACAGTAGAATCGTGTATTTTATTTTTTACAATGTTCTGTATGTTTAAATCCCCCCTTTTCCTGCCTGAAAACTCCACACAAGGTAATTACAACCATACTGAAAGTTTTATGAGAAATAAACATATCTAAAACACACACCACATGGATCTGATGGTTTTGAAGGTAAACATAACATACTGTATGTCTAAGGCCTGACTACATGTTATATGGATATGTATTATATTTCTCAAACATGTTTAATCTATCCTATTTGTATTTCAGGGATATCATGGATCAGTTTTTGGCATCCTTTTAGCATGAGGGGCTTCAAAGAAAATTACAATTCTCTAAGAACCTACTTGATTAATTTATAATTAGTAATTCTGAATTATTAGTTGCTTAATGGGGATGCTGTGTGAAAGTCAATGGATTGTTATATATTTTACAATTAAACATTCTCCTTCTTTACAATGTTTGCACTGCAGAGGCTCCTCAGGTGTGTGAAGGGGTGAATACAAACACAGCTCCACACCCATAACTCTTAACTTTATTTATAAATTAGGATAAACATTCTGTTTTTCATCATCTTTATTATAGTTTTGTAGATACTAGCTACGTATATGATAATTCTGTTTCTGGTCTCTAATCTAAATGTATACACAATAATGCCCCCTTTCAGTCCCTCTGCCTTTGGAATTTGTTATTTAAAAAAACAAGAGACGTTCCACTGTAAAAATACAGAATTGATCTGAGTATTTTGTATTTTGTTATTTTTCACAGGCTATTGTACATTGTTTAAGCAGTTCTTCTTTTACTGCAAAGCACATTGCAATGTGACACGATGGTATGACACCATGCACTTTAGAACACAGACCAAAGTGCTTTGTTGATCTTTCCAATCAGTTTACTGCAAGGATTTATGATTTAAAGTTCAAAGCTAAGGAAGAGGTATGTAAGCATACTGCGCATAGTGCCACGCATAAAGAGGAGTTCGCATTTCCCTTAAATATGATGTAAATTAAATTAAACTTTCCTAATGGTTCCATATGCTTGCATTCAAACACTCCTGGTTACAGATGTGGATATGTGTGTGAGTTTGTATAACTTGACAAGAAATGGAGTACTGCAATAGAAACACAGAATTGTATACAGTATATGTGTACATCTATAGGTACTTATGTAAAGTTGCTTTACAATTGCTTTCTGTGGTTTTTTTGCTTGTTTTTAATTTCAGAGTGTGTAATAGGTTATTTTACTACATACCATTTGCATTTGCTACAAAATTGCTGTCAGTGTCCTCCAAATACATTCACATGTATTCACTAAACCAAGTAAAACTACAGATTTGCTTTGGTGTTTCATGATTTATAATACAGTACTGTGTCATCTACATACCAATTACGTTTTTAAAAATATTTTCTGATATTATGCATGTATTGGATGTAGATAAAAAGGAAACTATCGGATTAGTTCCAGCATTACTGTGAGACACCTGCCTTAACTATTCTGTTTTGTAAATACATTTATGGCTTCATTTCATATTTGCAATCAGCTTTAAAAACAAGGTTTTAGGCACATGGCTTAAATGACTATTGCCACAATCTCCCAAATTCTTCCTAAACTTTATGAGAATCAAATATATCTTTCAGACATTTTAAAAAAGTTTAGATTCTGTCATGAAGAACATTAACAAGCTTACCAAGCTTTATCTCTATTCAATCTCAATGGCTCTATGGCTCTGTACCATGAGAAAGAAAGTTATCTTGTCTTTTCCAGTTGTTGTATTTATCATTTTTTTGTAATCAGTGACTGGTATATAACACGTGTGACTTAGATTGCATTGCTACAATAGTTGACAGACTGTGCAACGTTTGCTTTCTGAAGGGCAGTAAACAGAACAGTCAGATGCCTCAGTTTGCCTGAAGAAAAAAACTTGCAACCAAAAGATTTCACAGCACAAAACAGCATTCCACATTTTTTATGTTTATTTTACAGTGACATACCTTCTTTAAAATGTAATTAGCAGTCATTATGCCTTCACTAGGTCCCTATTTGGCAAAACATAATCATTGTCCTCTGAGGTCTGGGATCCTCTGAGCAACACTGATGAATGGGTCCCTGATTTGACTGAAAGGCGTTGAATGGCCAAGAAGTCTGCAGTTGCTGTAATTGCTGAATGAAGGCCAGGACAGCCACAAAATTACTTTGGCAAACCATTCGATGCTCAGGCTTTTCTCAGCAAAGGTGGTGAAATGCTTACCTCTGCTGAAGACATTGTTGAAAGGTTGAAAGAACACTGTGAGGAACACAATCTGGTGGATTTGGCAAGAATGGATTCAGCACTGTCACTGAGGTGACTGTTATAGTGATGTGCCTTCATAGTGGTTAGGCAGGAAGGGAAGAGAATATTTGAATGTGTTGAAAGTTGAAAGTCCTCTAAAATGTTGGGGTGTTGTGGGCATTCAGTGTTACATAGAAGGCCATACAGTAACTTTGGCAATCTGGGGTGGTGGTCCCTGTCTTTAAGTAAGTGGAACATGAGGTATTTTGTCAATATAGGGGGGGGCACACTCTTCAGCCTCCCCTTCAAAGCTTATATCAAAGTGCCGGAGTGGAGATGCCATCTAGTAGTTGAATTTTGTACTGAAAAAGAGCAATATGGATTCCATCCTGCCTATGTAACTGTGGACCAGCTCTTTTCTCTTCTAAAGGTATGTGAGGAGTCATTGGAGATCCATTTCAGTTTACCTTTGTTCTGTGGAGATGGCATATGAACAAGGTCCTTGTTCATGTGAGAGGTGCTATGGCAATATGAAGTGCTGGTGCTAATTCTACTTGCTATTTAGTCCAGTATCTGCAATGGGGGCCTAGTGGTAGCACGTCTGCTATCTGAAGGTGATGCTGTGAACTGAATGTGAAGATCCTGGAATGAGCACTGCCAAATCTGAGCTCATGGTCCTCTCCCACAAAAAAGTGGATTGCACTTTCCAAGTGAGGGGTGAACAATAGCCCCGAAAGATCAACTTTGGAGGTGATCTATGATCTAAACACCTCATTCTTCCATGAGAGAAATTGCCAGGCTGTCCTATGCTGTCTGCAGTGAGTTTTCAGACCCTTGCACAGTTTTCACATTTTGTACAGTAGCTTTAAAGTAAGTTACAATATATATTTTTTAAGTTGGCTGCTACAATCCTGATGAGGTATTACTCAAGTGATCTCATTCCTGTCGTGGCGTCCTTTCACTAGCTTCTTGTTGGGTTTAATGTTTATTTTGAAATTCCTCTGACTACATTAAAGATTTGACACTGCATACCTCCCCAGTTTCTAGCTATCCCCTCTGTATTTGGTTTATTTTCTTAGCTTTGTAATTTGCTTTAATTTTAGATAATGTGTTTCCAATAGTTTGCACTGAAAACAACTTTGAGATGATTGTTTTAAAGAGGACATATAAATTCAAGCTCATTATGATGATGAGGCAGAGTCTCAGAGTAGCCAGTTGAGAAGGTCTGGGCACCTGTTAAGAATACCACTCAGGATGCTTCTGCTGGAGCTCTGTCAGGCACCTCACATGAAGCATAGGCCTTGAGGCTGACCCAGGACATGCTGGAGGGACTATATCTCTCATCTGGCCTGGAAGTGCTTGAGAAGCCCTTAACAGGAGCTGGAATGTGTTGTGGAGAAACACGTGACCCCTACTTGGACAAGTGGATTGAAATTGGGTGGAGGGGTGGATTATTTAATACTGTGTTGAGCAGCAGTGTGATTTTGCTGAAAAGGCATGTTTTTTCAATGTAGAATATTCACACAACCCCAGACACAATTGAACATTTACATTATCTGGTGCTCACACATACTCTTCATATACAAATTGAATTTAACATGATTATATAGCCTGGGGTACCAGATTCATTCATATTTATTAACATCTGGTACTAGTAAATTCTTAATAAAAGCTGCCCTGCCCTCACTTTCTACTTCATGAATGGAAGCTTTTACAGAATAAACCAGCTCCAGTAGTCCTCTTCAAAAGGTTACAGTTTCATTAATCCCCCTTCAGGCTCAACACATCATTACAATGTTATTTGGGGATTAGCATTAAAACTCAATAACAGGCCTAGAGCTTTGGTAGGAAGAACTAGTTAAGTTCCAAAGGTTTAACAGGGCTTGAGAGTAGTGAATGGTTGCCCTTGTGTTCTCCTGAGTAGGACAGAAAAGGGAGTATGTAGCAAAACCAAAACACTATTAGTATACGGTATGGCAAGGTTTTGGGTCATGAGTCATGAGACTCACAGAAGCTTCCAGGTTAATTCTCTGCAAACATTAACACTGAGTTCATGACAAGCTTTAGATGTAATGTATCACTGGCATTTTTAAATTCTTAGTTTAAGTATAATAAAATATGCAAATAAATAGAAAATCTCCCTGCAGTTTAATAATATAACTATATTATATATGGCTGTAATATATATATATATCGATAATACTAAATTATATCTTCATGCATTTAATACATTATGATTGTGATTTTTATATATTAGACAAATAAATTATGCTTATTATTCAACAGTATTTAATTAGTTAACATAGATGTATATGTTAGATCTTTTATGTGCCTGTACTTCACAGTTTATTACTATAAATCAACTTGAATTTAACCTTATTTTTTTACACAGAACTGTTCTCACTGCCATCTTCCTTGTTCATGTGAAATGTGTCCATAACCCACTTCCCTGGTTAGGGGGCTTATTACATTCATAGAAGTAAAATTGACACACTATAATATGTCATGCTAATCATTCAGTCATGACTCCTAACCCATCTGGATGTGTTAAATAGCAAATCTATGCACATAATTAAGACAGAGGTGCTGATGACAAAATGCTGAGACAAAGCTTATTTTCCTCAGCTAAAAAAGAATCGTCAAGATCACCCAGATGACTCAGCTGTGTTGTTCTAAAAGAAATTGTGGATGTTAAAAATGATATTTTTTTCTAAAGATCGTTTAAACCTGACAGCATTTCACAAGCAATAGCTCCAAGTTCTGCTCTCTCCACCAGTGCCTTCTGAAGTACATTGAAATTATTTTTAAGAACGTATGGGGCCAAGCTTGAGCCAACAGGACCTATTGTCGTTAATCCTCTCTCTAAATCATTCCAGCTTTTACAATCCCTGGCCATCCTCTATCACATCAGGGCAGAGCAAAGAAAGCATTCCCACTTTCTTCTATCCCTTTGTCTATTCCCCAAGGCCAGAGAGATTTGAAAAACAAGTAAATGGTAAATCAAACAGGTTTACTTGACCTATGAGAAAGTTATTTGATTAAGGGATTCTGACCTGTTAGCATTAGCACTGCTGTGCCTGCTCTAATCCAGCAATCCCCACTTGTTTACATTTGCTGGGAAAATGTCTCAACGCTTTCTACTAAGTGATTACAGAAGAGATACAGCAGGACTGCCAAGTTATGGTAACCTGGGTCCTTCTCCTATGGGCCTGTATTTCAATATTTCCCTTGTAAGTTCAATACTCGTGAAACATGATACTCCATTAGTGGCGTGAAGGGTAAAGTTCACTATTTTTTCACAAAGCAGACATAGACCTCACAGATGTTACCTCAGTTCCCTAGAACAGCCTTTCAGTCTACGGCTGTGCCCTTCTGTACTCACATCTTACTTCAAGATGAGGCCTTTGATTAGGAAAAGCCTGAGATTACTTTTCTGTTTTGAAAGAGATAACTTAAAATGAGTTCTTATGACTGCAGCCTGGCCAAATCTCCTCCAATGAAAACACCTACACTTGGGCTATGCTCCTACATCACATCCTCATTGTGGAACTCAGTACCCATTACTGTGTTAGAGAGGTCCCAGTCCACCACTCATTGTTAAGGTGTTGCCTTACCCTCTCGCTTTCCTATATTCACGGTAATATTTCACGGTAATTTTTCAAGTGCTTTGAAATGTTGGTCACCATAAACAGATGCTACATACAGTAAGATAAGATTAGTACTTTATGTTTACTATTTTACCTGCCAGGTGGGATGGATGCACAAACAGTTAAATCACCCCCTTCTGTGTATGGCTTTTAACATTAACTGAAAACTAAGATACAGTATGAAAAAATGAAAAACCTCTGTCACAACCTCTGTCTGAAGGAAGTAAATAAATAAACAGCTGCTTTTGTTTTATCTTGGCTTCTGAATATGACTTGAAGAAATTTTCAATCTACATTAGTTTTTAAAAGGATACATCCTAACATGGTGTCAACTGCAGGAATTCTTTAAAGCAGTGTTGCAAATGGCGCTATAGCAAATAAAATCATTGATTGGCAGACTGACTGATTCTTCCATACTCACCTGGCCTGAAGACCCTCTGACCCAGCAGGCTGCAAGAGGTACTGATGAACAGTTTTGTTCCTCAAGGTCCCAGCCAGTTTGATTTTCTTCCGGGATCGGTGCAGATTAATGATGTAAATGGTTATGGATCCTCGCACATAATTATGACTACAGGAAAAAAATTACAGACAGTCATACCTAAGATAAAATTAAGAAAACCAAGGATTGGCAGTTATCGTTTTCTCCTATATAGTTCCAGTTACAGTGTTATCTCTGCTTCTCCAGTCATTCTAATGTCTGATTCAGTTCTCTTACATAATTTTTGTTACCATTTCAGGAAGCCAAAAATGGAAAATAGAATTAAAAAGGGGAAAGCTTAACAAGAGGTGTGCTGTGGAATCAGAAAAATATGGATCAGGACTTTTGTGTAGCTCTTACCAGCATTAAAACAAATGTTAGAACAGTTCTATTCATTGGAACAAGCTCACATTTTATTTGTAGACAAAGCAAAGTCAAATATTAATTATTGATGCTATAGTCAGTTTGAAACAAACATGATGTCTTGCAATATTACAGCAGATTGTTTTAAAATCATTAGTTGTGCCTGCAATTTTTGGGGGATGTTTAAAGAGTACTCCAAGCTGAAAAAGGTTGGGAGGCACTGAACTAATCAGCTGAGTTCATGCTTGTAAAATATGATTTGTTCCCCCAGTGCTTTCAAAAGACAGGCCATCTCATAAAAAAAGTCCTTGATGATGATTCACCTGGCTTTGATTTTCCAAAAAAGAAATAAACACTTTACTTAATTATTAAGTTTAATTTGTAAATTTTAAAAATAATACAACTTGGAAGGTCACAAACATAATTATTATATTCAAAAATCCAATATATTAATTACTTTATGCAGCCTGTTATTTTGCAATTTAATAAGAACATTAAATATTTGTATGATGCTTGGGTGGCCTCTGAAAAAATGATATATGTTATATGTCGCTCTTGTCATCTTCAAAGAACACTAATGCACTTGGTGTTTCTTTTGTGGATAGCACTGCTCCCTTCACATGGTATTTTTAACTAACTATGCTGCTGCAGTCATTAATGAGGAATGTCTTCTTTTGGTATGGAGGATGAAAAACTGTAGTCATAGTGGTGGGAGCACAGGCAATAAGCACACAAACCTCTCTAAAGAATGATGAGAACCGCAGGAATGCTGGATGAAAAATGATTCACCCCACACTGTTGAATCAAATCATTGTAAAAACAGGCAGCATTTATGATAAAATTGAAAAAGGATGGCACTGTAGTAGAAAATTCAACAAACCTGTAGAGAACGCAGTATGTTTTCACAAGCCTAGTGAGAAAGGTTACATACTGCCTTTTTAGGATTTCTCCCTTGCATCACAAACACTGTCTTTATGTCTAAGTATTCTGATTATTTGAAACAGCAAAATAAAAGCAACTTCAAAGCTAATTTACAACCCAAGAGTGCTTATCAAGAAATATCTTTTTTATAGCTGATCTTAAAAACCCATGATAAATCAGTGTCTACCCTGCGCTTCCTCCCCAGCTAATTTGAATGAGTAACACAATTATCCAATGTATACTAAAAACAGCCATACAATACATGCATAGGCAGATCACTGATCACTGGATGGTATTGACAAGCTAATAATTATATGATTACGTCATACTACATAACACAGGTGCGGGGAACAGATGTACTCTGTTTTTCTGCACTATACCACACTTGTATGTCAGAACATAGGAACTTACAACACCAAAATATAGAAAACCTCCAAGAATGTATTGAAGCATACAAGTCCCCATATGTTTTGGCCTGAGGACTACCAGAAGGCTGGCGCACACACAAGAGAATCTTCTTGTTCTTCCATTGTTTGTTTCTGAAGTTACAGGTGGAGAAAATTGGTATTGAGAACAGGAACTCATGAAAAGAGCCAGCAAAATATTCACTTATCATTACTGCAGGAAGATTCTGAGATGACCTCAACCCCCTTCTTTTCCTGCCCTGATGTAAACAGGGACTTACTGTAGCTCAGTGAGCCCTGGCGAGGTGCTCTCTCTCCCTCACCCGGCAGGCAGCCATTGCTTCAGGTAGGATGTGAGCATTTTTACATAGATTCTACTGGTGTTAACTGGAGGGCATTCCCTGCTGGAATTAATCCATTTTCTAATAATGTCATAAAATAAAAATATCCAGAACAGGTTAGAGACTCACAGAAATATGTTTTGATTATCCCACAGCAATCAATGATATATCTTCAAAGTTTCTGAGCAGTTTATTATTAAATGTTTTGTCCAACCATATGAAAGGGTGAAATGGGGAGGTCAGCTCAAACTGAAATGGAGATGTGGCTTGAGGCAGGTAGCAGGCAGTAAGTCTATTCTGGTGATGACAAGCCCTGGGTGCGGTAAACATCACACAAGTTAAAAGATGACCATCTTCAAAGGGGATGATGGCACTTTTTATCTTGTCTCAGGACAGACCTACCTATTGTCTGCCCCATGGCCCAAATGTATTTGAGATGGGATAAAGGACTCAGCCACCTTTCTTCAGCTCTTTGACAGTAAAAAGGGCCCCGCACGCTTGATAATTGATACTCATTAACTTTTATGGCTGCACACTCTGAAAGATTGGGTGTCTGAAGTCTGTTATTTATATATCATTATTATGGACAGACCCTTTCCTTACTGTACCTTATTCTCAGGTGTCCCCTGGAGAGAAGAAGTTATTGTACCTCCTGATCTCATATCAAGGCAGAACCTTTGAAAATGTGCACTAATATAAAAAAATTAAATATAAAATATAAAATCCGCACCTATGATGCCTTTATGGCTGTATCAGAATGACTAAAATGCTGCAGCTCATTCTAAGGGAATTTTTGGAGATACAAGATACCAAAAAGAACAGGACTTCTTTAAGTATGCATTCCATGAATTTACAGGAAAGTATATTTTACTTATTGAGGAAACTGGGAGGTTTTAAACTGAGAATATAGTTTTTGAAATCCATTTTTTGTTTCATTCACATTTTTTCATGTGACAGCTTTTTCATGAACAACTTCCCCCTCTGTCATCCTACCTGCAGATAGGTAGTAGAGAGATGAATCCCTAGTATGAATCTTGCACTCCAATGTACTTCACACTAGACTGGTCTATGATTTTAAAATGCAAAAAGTAAACAAGCTTTTACTTCAGGTGTACTGTATATCCTTAACCCACTCATTTATACTGTATAATATAATTCATAGAAAAACAAATACCATATGTACAGTACATGATGATATAATTCTAATTACTAGTAAAAAAAGTGATATATGATAGGTTGCTTCCTTTTTTCAAAAGACATATTTTTTTTTCTTTGTAGAGATGCCCTTCTAAAGGCTTGGTTGTTTGCCCAGACTGGCTTTGCTGGGAAAGAGGGGGGACTCACTTTTGGAAGCTTGTGCAATGTGCATATATGCGCAGTTTGTCTCGGATTACTCTGCCAGGACGTGGTTTCCTCTGCAGACCAGCCACGTGTACTGCCAGGACCCGGGGACCAACCAAACGTTTGAAGAGCAAAGACAGCCAGTAATCCTGCAAGAGAAAAAATGGGCATGCCATTACAAGCAATAAGCCACACAGTCAAAAGACCTTAAAAGACCTGAGTCTACAGTCCTTAACTGTTCTTACGAATTGGTCCCTACTGAGTAACTGCTCCTGGCTTCTGAGGGATGGCTCAGTTTCAGATGTCTTTTCATGGAGCAGAAAACCCAATATTCTGTAGCACTGTTGCATGTAGGTTCATGGAAAAATTGCAAACCTTGCTGTGATTGCAGAAACTGGCACTGAACATGAAGGCTTGAAGTCCAAGTTGTCTCTGTTGGATTCCTACCAAACATTTCAGGAACAATCCCTGCATACCTGGGCAGAACCATAGCATATTCCATACACAATTGATTCAGGCTTTCATTGCAAATATTCCTTCTAAAAACCATGTTAACTTTGTATTCAGTGTAGGCTATATTGGCAAAGCTTTTAAAAGCATTTCTCAGTTAATTTGGTCCTTTTCTTTGTTTTGTTTGTTGTTTACATTTCCTCATTATTGTATGGTTTATACAGTGGTGTGAAAAAGTGTTTGCCCCTTTCCTGATTTCTTATTTTTTTGCATGTTTCAGATC